ATGGCTATCATATTTGCTGAGAATAGCTCTAAGGCATTTGGAACAGATGATTAAGGTACCCTTCCCAAACAGAATCTTTGTTCCACGCTCTCCCTTTATGAAGAGGGGTTTTGACTCATCTCTACACATTTTCTTCCAGGTTTTTCTGCAGGCAAATCTCACCACATCACAGAATGAGAAAGTCACTTTCAAATAGTTAAATATTTCCATTGGGAGGAAATCAAGATCCTAAAAGATAAAGTGACGGACCTAAGATGTTTGGCCATTAGTGATTCAAGTTTAGCAATCACCTCCCTGCCCTTCCCTTACCACCTATATTGTTAATTCCTTGAGGGCAAAGATCATTGTTTCTTGTGCATTTCTTCATCCACAACAAACCTGTCTCTTTTTTCCCATACAGGATCAAACCAGGGCTGGACAGACCCTGCATGCTAAAGAAAGGATGTTTGGATTGAACTGAACCCTATAGAACGGGGACTATTGAAAGACACTAGGTTTGGCCTCTGGGTGAACATCAGCTTCTGATTGGACCACTTAACAGTGAAAAGCAATGGGCCAAAAAAGACAAGCCATGTGTGTACTCTAATTTGCCCAGCTGACTTACAAATCTCATCTTCTACTAACTTATTTTGAGCTCCATATGCTTTTAACAGTGCTGGTCACGAAGCAGACCCTCATTAAATGTGCTTTGATTGATTGACAATTCCCAAAGCAAAAGGTGGATCTTGGTGGGTGTTTCATGTCAGTAGAACAGCTTTGCAAGAGGAAAGTTTCAGGCAGCCCAAGATGGGCACTGCTGGGCCTAGAGCACTTTCATGTAGCTCTGTGCCTCCCCTTAATCTAGAACGCAATATCTGAGATGCTGTGTTGTCTTTTAGATTTCAAGAACCATACTGAAAAGTGCTTAAAAGATCATATTATTAGGTGTTGTTGTTGCTGTTAGGTGCCATTGAGTCTGTACCTACTCATAACGACCCTATGCACAACAGAACAAAACACTGCCCAATTCTGGGCCAACCTCACTATTGTTGCCACGCTTGAGCCCATTGATCCTGCCACTTTGCCCATCCATCTCGCTGGGGGTCTTCCTCTTTTTCTCTGACCCTCCACCTTACCAAACATAATATCCTTCTCCAGCGACTGACAATATGTCCGAAGTCCGTCCTGACAATATGTCCAAGGTATGAGAGACGAACTTTGGCCATCCTGGCCTCCAATGAGCACTCTGGCTGCATGTCTTCCAACATAGATATGTTGGTTCTTTTGGCAGCCCGTAGGACTTTCAATATTCTCCTACAACACCGTAACTCAAAAAGCATCAATTCTTCTATGGTCTTCCTTATTCACTGTCCAGCTTTCCCATGCATATGATGTTATTAAAAATACCATGGCTTGGGTCAGGCACACCTTAGTCCTCAAGCTGACATCTTTGCTCTTCAGCACTTTAAAAGTTTGTTTATTTTAACCTTGAGATGTAATCCATACCGAAGGCTGTGCATTTTGATCTTCATCAGTAAGTATTTTAAGTCCTCTTCACTTTCAGCAAGCAAGATTGTATCATCTGCATATCTCAGGTTATTAATGAGTCTTCCTCCAATCCTGATGCCACATTTTTCTTCATATAACCCAGCTTCTCATATTATTTGCTCAGCATACAGGTTGAATAAGCATGGTGAAAGAACACAACCTTGTCACACACCTTTCTTAATTTTAAACCATTCAGTGTTCCCATGTTCTGTTCAAACAACTGCCTCTTGGTCCATGTACA